ACTGTATATGGATAAACATGAAGTTATTCTGGCAATGGTCAATGCTCTCGATGATGTTTGTGTATCCACATCTAAAATCCTATGTGTCAAATGCTTAAATCAGTTAACCAAACAATCAGTCAGTCAATCGTGAGACTACTGTAAATCCATAGAATGTTCTAATGTGCTCAAATAACGGATGTTAATTTCCTCTTAAAACTGTCAGATGACATTCTGACATTTGGAAAAAATGACTCCAATATACAAATTGGCATATATAGGAGTAAATGCCTGGAATAACATAAAGCAGAGATGAATTATTATGTACAAGATCTGAAATGTACAGTATGGTGAGACAAGTTTGTTAAGTATTTAAAAATTCAATGAATGAGAAAATTGTCAAAAATGAAGCTTTCTTAAATTGTAAAAATTTTGGCAAAATTTTACTTATGCCAAGATATGATACATGCAGCAGTATAATGGATAGGTTGCAAGGGGAAAATGTTTAATCTTGGAAGCCTATAGGCATCATTGTCAATATTATAATTTTCATAATGTTTGTCATTATCATCATCATCAATCAATAATTTTATTTTATTCTTATATTTTAAGCCAATATTAACATCATTATTATTTTTATTTATTTAAAATGCTTATTACACATATCTTCCTTCTAATTACAACTTTCACAAAAGCAATTCATTTTGTGTAGATCTACAGTACCTACCTGAGAGAACAGACAATTTCAAACATGGTTATAAATTCCAGATCTTGCTTCACCAAATATCCCTACTGTAGGCAGGCCACTTTTATGTCAAGGTTAATAACATATGACAGCTGAAAGCAAGAAATAGACCTAGGCGGACTTGTAGTGCATTGCATAATACTATCTAACTATAAAATAACCAAATTTCATGCCCATAGGGTCAAGATTAATCCATTTATGATCTATGAGAAAGTACAAATTCTGAATAGTTTCCATTCCTTGCCTTCTAAATTAAATCCACAGTCCTACTTCAAATCTCGTGGGACTAATTTTCAAACCTATTTTCTATTTTGAATGAATAGATAAACCCAGAACTCAAGCATTGGATTATACTATAAGACTTGGATTAAGCAATTTTTTCAAACTTAACAGTATATAGGCCTATGTAGTCAGATTAACCAAAAAATATCCACTGAAAACAATTGCGCAAGTTTAACCAAGCAGTGGCCCCATTGGTTTTCTCCAAGCTTTTAAAATTCAAAAAACTGTAACGCCAGAATATAACTTTTGTGTATCAGAAAACTCATTTGCATAAAATATATTTAAAAAACTCTTTTTCCGCTGGAGTCTGGCTTTAATCGTGGTGTAGTTTGTTGTGTCTTTTCTTTCCCCCTGCCCTCTGGGTATCACAAAGGTTTCCTACTGTACATTCCAGGAAGGATTAAGGATTAAGGATTAATATATGGTAATGAATGAACAAAATTTGTATAGCACCAAATATTGTACAGTTATTACAGAAGGCATCCATTATCTTGGCTTTGATGCTCTCACATGTTATATGATTGTACTGTACACATATTTGAATAAAGAATAAATATTATTATGGTAAAGTGATAAACCACAAATTATCATTGAAGTAAAGATAAAATTTTAAAGAAGGCTTTAAAAAGAATGTTTATTCTGTGCAAGATGAGATCATTGTAGTACTGAGACATTTGTTATATCAAAGCCAAATTACAGTACCTATCTATTATTAGCATTGATAAATCTCTTGAATTTATATCTTCTTGGTTGGTTTCAACATTTCTGTTCTCTGCCTGATATAAAAAACTTAAATAGAACAATAAGTTAATTAAATCGCATTTATAATGAAAGCAGAGAGTACTCTGCGCTGTTAAAGATTATTTGATGCATCTTTTGATTAAAACGATTGGGTAATAACAGAAGCCTGTAAGCTAATGAATGATATTACGGTTCTTATAGCCAGAAGCATTCAATTTAATAACAACTGTACAGTGATAGGCGACATTCTAATAACCAAGAAAAATAGTTTATTTATATTTTCAATAACTTTGCCAAAGATAAAACTTTACATCATTTTTTTAACATACAAAATTATGTCTTTAATTGTAGGGAGACCTGAATATTTACAATAAGGTATTGCAACCAAAAAATGTCTGGTCATATTTCCAATAGTTATATTTTAGTTGATTATGGAAATGGCATTGTCTCTTTTTATTTTTCATATTTCTAAGATATACAGTATAATTATTGTTATGTTAGACAATAAAGAGCCCAATGTACTTGTACTGTATGAATTTCCAGCTCTAATTAATTAATAAATTTGATGCCTAAACCATTGATGGTTTTTGCCTTGCATTTTTCCATTTTACCAACCAAAATGCACAGTAATAAAAAACCCCTAACAAACAACTGATCGTCCACAATTTCCAAATGTTAATATTCTTTGGCAGCACTATAATTATTTTGAGATTTTGTATGAATTTACTTTGTCGATCCTAAAAGACAAAATATAATTTACTCACAAAATAATTATAATTGTTGCATCCAATGGACATTATTAATTCAAAACACTGTAATTCTTTGGTCTTAATATTCTGTTTTTTAATGATTATTTTTCGTCATTTTCAATACATCTTAATATCTGGAAATGTCTCTGTTTTAATAATTTGCATGTCATTAAAGGCATGTGAAAATCACCTGTGAAATGAGCAGTATCTGTAAACCTGTGACTGTAATTGATTGCTTTATATAAGTGATCATTTTTCCAATAAGCTTGCATATATAGTCATCTTATTAGGTGAGTAGACCTACATTAAATTTATGTTGTGTTTCAATTTGGACTTCATGACAATATCAGCATCGGAGTAAAAAGATGCATTTATTTTAATATATCCTAGTTTAAAATTTCTTGAGATGTATGCTTGTTGTCTTTTGAATTGGGGATGCCTGTGAAATTAAAAAAACAATTAATCTCTTTGTTTGGGGTCTGAAATTATAATGTGCATTAAACAATTATGAGCATAACAAATCTGAGCTTTGAACAGTAAATTATGACAATTTTATGAATATTGTATTATAATGAAATGTTGATGAATATCTGATGATAAGTAATCCTTTGTTAATGTATTGTGTACAAGAGTCTAGACAGTATGTACTGGTACTGTATACAAAATAATGTGATGTTGTTTACATAGCTTGATGATAGAGAAGCCATGGTGCCATCCAGACAACAGTGATCTTAACTGCTCTGTTCCTTCCCATTCTCCTTTCTCATGCTTTATAAATTTCTGTTAATATTATTTTTTTATGCCAGAAAATTAATTATAAATAAATATGGGTTTAGCCATGACATTTAAGTTTGTTCTGTTTTTTTAACATCAAGCCATAAACTTTGGACAAATTAACTAACATTGACTTGCTAGGTGTGATTTTATGGTTTGTTTTATAGTTATGAAATATAATTTGTTCACGATTGTCATCCTTGGTTGTAGAACAAGAAATTATTATTCATGAAATACAGAGACCTCAAGTCTCACACATTCCCACAAGCAAGAAGAATCTCCAGGAAAATAATCCATCTCCGACACATTCACGATATTTGCATGATGTGTTTACTGTATCATAAAATTTCTTTCAGAAATAAGTGCCAATGTATCACCATGCACATCAAATAAAACTAGAGCCTGGTTCTCACGAGAGCCCTAGTATCCGGATCGGGAGCTAACCGTTAGCACCTGTGTGAGAACGCCCGATCGGTTAGTGCTAACCGTTAGCGGTATCCGGACATCGCTAACGGTTAGCAAGCACTACCGGTTAGCACGTTGAGCGCATTTCTATCATCAACTATTCACACGTACGCGTTTACAATTTCCAGTTTCTTATTGGCCAGTTATTCGATCATCATATTATTGGTATCCGGATCTTCTCGAATGTACGCATGATAGCTAACGTTTAGCAGGATCCGGATCCTGCTAACCGTTAGCTGCCATGTGAGAACATATCCAATATGTGTTAAAACCCCCTGTAAATAGTATAATAGTTAGTTATAGAGCCTGGTTCTCACGAGAGCCTAGTATCCGGATCTGGAGCTAACCGTTAGCATCATCAACTATTCACACGTACGTACTAAGGTATTTACTCTTTTGTTTTTATTCGGATATTTAGCTTGTGTGTATTAACTAATGCCTATCGGCGTATTCATTTTATTGGGTCATATACAATGGATCTACCAAAAAAAGTTTGGCATACAGTATGTAGGATGAAAATGATGCAAGCAATCGTAATTCTAAATTTCGTGCATTTTATATACATTCGTATCTCTAAAGTTAGGCACTCACTACGTTGTACAACGATCGTACGATCGTCGGCCGACGAATCTAACTCCGGACCTGTGAGCTCTACACGACGCGACGCCATCTGCTGTCGTGGCGATGCGTTCTCCATTAAGGCTATGTTCTCACACGGCAGCTAAAGGTTAGCAGGATCCGGATCCTGCTAACCGTTAGCTGCCGTGTGAGAACATATCCAATATGTGTTAAAACCCCCTGTAAATAGTATAATAGTTAGTTATAGAGCCTGGTTCTCACGAGAGCCTAGTATCCGGATCGGGAGCTAACCGTTAGCATCATCAACTATTCACACGTACACGTTTACAATTTTCAGTTTCTTATTGGCCAGTTATTCGATCATCATATTCTTGGTATCCGGATCTTCTCGAATGTACGCATGATAGCTAACGTTCAGCAGGATCCGGATCCTGCTAACCGTTAGCTGCCGTGTGAGAACATATCCAATATGTGTTAAAACCCCCTGTAAATAGTATAATAGTTAGTTAAAATTTAATTATCTTGTAATTAATATGGGGGACTTTGCAGTCTTGTTGGAATGATTTGGTTATAATATGTAAGGTGATAAAATAATGATGCTACTGTACAGTATGTCAATGTCATTTGTATTAAAGTTTCTTAAATTAGTTTTATTAAGTTTAATTTTATATTGTTTGTTCTTTTAGTGAAATACCTGCGGGAAGTTACGCCGTATTTCAGGCGGAGTACTATTATCGGAGAAGTAGGATGGGAGAACACATCACCTTACGTCATCAAGGAGCCCGGTGCAAATCCCCGTGCCACTCGTAATAATTGGACCGAAATGAAAACAATACCATTAAAGCTTTCATACGTTACAACAAACTTGACAATGCCCGACCCAGAACATAGAACGATCGAATTACATTCCCCAGATGGTCGTAGCTCTTGTATCCTGCGTTGTAAAGACAATCAAAGTGCCACCGAGTGGTGCACTGCCATCCAGGCGAATGTTTCTCTCTTAAACTGCAATGCGATATCAGAAGCGAACGCGTTGCTGAGAACATTACCTGGAGAATTAGAAGTACATCACATGGGATGGTTAAGTGAGCAGGTAAGATGTTTGATAACATATGGGAACAAATGCAAATGTTTTACAGCATTACTTTCAAGATACATTATCTGGAAAAAAAAATTCTGTGTAATAAACTTTTTGTTTGATGCAGGCCTATGAATATATATATATATATATATATATATTATCCTTTGAATTTTTAAATACAAATCTTAAAAAAACATTTGATTGGATATCTGCTTCTTTCACAATCCTATTGAAGTAATGGCCATAGAAGGGTATACCTTTAGAAATGGTTGAAATTATTAAACACCCCTTAATTTTTTATGACCTTATAATTTAATAAATATGTCTAATATTTTTTTACAAGCAATAATTTTTACAGTCAGAAAGGGTTACATGTAGATGGTAAATTTTGGACATGATATAAAGTGTATAGACTGGAATAAATAAAAATGAATTCAAAATTATTAAAACTGATAGTTAAATTAGGTTATGCTCATTAAACATTTGATCACATAAGTAACACATTAATTATGGGGGCCACATGTTCTACTATTTATTGTATGTCAAAATATAAACAGTTTGTAATAGTGCCTGGACATAGAGAGAGCAGCTTAGCTCAGACGGCTAAACTGGTATTAGCCACTGTGTGTGCGCTGAACTGTGGAATATCTAGGTTATCGGTTCAATTCCCATTGCTGCTCTTGTGTTTCAGCTAGAGTGCTGAAATGCAAGTTACCATAGCGCACCGTCTTTCAGATGAGACGTTTAAGCCGTTAGTCCCGTGTACATTATGTCACGTATGTTAAAAAACGCAGTTCACTATTCGGAAAGAGTATCAGATTGTCCCCCGGTGTACAGTACTGCCTAATCACCACCAGAACGACACTGGGAATAAGTCCTCCTTAGAATTGTGGGTTATCCTTGGTGTTCACACTGAATAAATCCATCCATCCATCCATCTCAGAGATGCTTGCTAAAACACAAAGTATCCAAATACATGAAATTAATGATTATTAAACTTACGGTATCCAAAATTTAAAATGCGGTAATTTAGACAAAGAGAACATTGATTATTATTCAGTATAATATATCGAACAAATGCGTAATTATTGGTAGGCAATTAAATATTTTAATTTAAAATTTATTAATATTGGCAACCGCTAACCAGAAATGAAACCAGCCTAAATTAAACACAGTTAATTTAACAATGGGATGTCTGTAGCGAGCAGTAAAGAAGAATTAATAAAACGTATTTTATGACACAAGCTTTCATCAGCTGTCTCCTGACTTCAGCAGGTGAAGTTAATATATTTTTTTAACTCGATCAAAGTCTATCCAGTGTTTAGAATCAATTTATAACAGGATGGGATAATGATACCAGGTGGAGGAAACTCCTACCCCAGGAATAAATAATCCTTTTATTGTTACCAATAAACAGATAATCACAACTAATTTTGAGAATACATCAGTAATACTCAGGATAAAATTTTGATTAAGAAGGTTTAAACTAATACCAAATTTAATTTCAAATATTCTGAGCATTTGAAAAATTTAAAGTTACCTTCATTAGTTTATAAAGGAAAACCTGTGCAGACCTCATTCAAATACTGAAAATTTTGAAAGGAATAGAGAATTTTCCAAGTAAACCAAGTAAACTTAAAGGATACATTTGTACTGACTGTACTTTAATTATTTATTTATAGTTTATTCAGGGATCTATTTATTATTTATTCAGGAAAAACAAACAATACTATACAATACTGTTGAACATCGCATTATGTAGTTCATGGGAAGATGCAGAAGTAGTTTTGGGCCACTGCCATCAACAATGATGTGAACCTCCTAATAAATAAATCAGTAACCTGGTGATATTTCAGTGAGCTTTCCACTTAAAGGCAATATAATTTCATACAAAAAAAATGGATTACAAAATGTTTTTTAGACAAATTATGTGAAAAATTGTAAAATAATAGTGTTTTTAATGCTAATACTTTTATGGTGTGATATATGTGTTTTTGTTTTATTGTATGTGATTTTTGTCAATGTGAATGTCATAAACTGTGAACACAACCAGAATTTCAAATCGCATATTTTTACTGTGTTTGACAATAAAGATTGAATTAAATTTTTGCAGTAGATTTTGAGTATTATTGTTCTGAGTTCTACTATCAATTTTATGCTCCATTACACTTCAGATTTCAATATTTCTTGAACTGATCAAACCCCAAATTGAATTATCACTTCACAAGCATGACCCTCGCATTTATCTGTCAGTTATCAACAAGAACGTGTCAAATTGAGTTCATGAACTAGGATCAGATCACTGCTTTTGCATTAAAAATTTGTTATTAAAATATATAATACCTCCGGAAAGGAGTATAATAATGTTCATTAATTCGCTTCAAATGTTTGTGTCGTAAGATAGGATAATACAACATGAATGAAACAAGAATTGTATTAAAAGTATGCGAATCACAGGCCATAGATGTAGCATGCTTTTGTTAGGATGAACTGTATCTAGTTCATTGGGCAAGTAATCAGTTCAGTCCAATTATTAAACAATAGACATAAATTAGGATATTGTATTGAAAGGATGCAGTGCATAGCTTATACGGTAAATATTATAACATCTGCTTGTATGCACTCGTTAAGTAATCAATTATTTTAATGAAACAATGTGTATTAATTATATTCATTCATTCTCATTGAAAATATGAGTATTAGAAGGTTCATTGTGATTTAACTTTTTGTTGAACTCGGAGCCAAGTAAATTGCATACTACTGTATTGCTTTAATTTAAAAGAAATGACAGCAGCACTTGTATTAGCAACTAGCATAACATTTAATCTCTAGCTTTTGTCCACACAGTGGATTTCATCAAACCGCATATTTTTACTGTGTTTGACAATAATGATTGAATTTGATTTTTTTTAGTAGATTTTGAATAATTGTACTGAGTTTTATTGTCAATTTTAATATTGCTTATTACCCAAAAAATAAATAACTAAGTAATCTCTGAAAACCTTCAAATTGATAGGGCATTCAAAGATACAACAAATTAGCAAAAAAAAAAATAGAAAATATATAATTTGATTGTTGTTTTATATACAAATTTAAGCATTTAAAACTAGAGTGGAGGAAATAATATTTAAAAACTATAATTAAACTTGAATGATAAAAATATTAATGGGAGTGGTTGGCAGCGTTGCTGCAATTTGGGTTTTCAGTTTTGAGGTCAGGGGTTCCAAACTGGGTCAGTGCATTTCGCTTTAGCCTCTCTCCACCCACGAGTATGGGTACCAAGTTCAAACGGGAATGCACTGATTTTTAGCTGTGCACAATGTAGACTTCTTCACAAGGGAGCCGAGTATGTGTTCTGTAGGTGTTTAGTCCAATGACTGGAGCAATAATGTGATGTGCATGGCCTTGTTGGCGTGATACCTGTATGAAAAAAATAAATAAATAAATAAAAAATAAATAAAAATAAAAATAAAATATAATTATTAAATTGCTAGTTTATAGTCCCACCCTAATCAAATTTTGGAGCCTTGTAAAAAATTTACTATTTGCTATTGAAAAAAAAATCAAAAATTTTTCCATTGAAAATATTGATCATGATCTGAAATATTGTCAAATCCTAAGATGAAATAGAAACACAAATAACAGAATACAATTACAAAAGTTAGATTTACTTCTTTTATAATTATTAAGTCTATGTCTATGTCTATTTACCAGCTTGTTTACCACTAGTATACTGTATAGCAAGTAGTAAAACCAAAAAATGATTTCAAATCCTGGATGTGAAAATAACAATTAAATTTATATGGCTTTAATTAGTATAAATAATATTTTCCAACATTCTGTTAAAATATGTTGTTTTTTTAAATACACCATCATCATTTGTTGCATATTTTTTAGCAAAGTCACTCAGATTCAAGGGGAGGAATATGGAAGGCAATCTTCATGGCGATATCCGATTGGAATGTCCTTATGTATGACAACGTACCCTTTACGAAAGATGAGTGGCTGAAGCCTTACAGATCCCTGCCATTGATCTCAACCAGGTAAGTAATACCCTCATGTCTCTATTTTTGTCAAATTTGTGAATGTGTGTATCAATGCAAGTCCTGCTTGCTTTTGTTTTGGCAGTGCCCACAGTGTAGCTCTCACATGTGTCTTTACATATCACCATATAAATATTTCATCTTAAGTTTTCAACTGTTACAGGTATGAATGCTTACCTGAACTGTTTTCATCAGAAATTTAAATGTTTTCTTTGGTAGAGATTATGCCTCTTGGTACAAATTATTGAGTAGCTTTGAATTTATTCTGAAGTTGCTGGCCTAGTCTATCGTGACTAATTTCTTTTCCCATGATCTTATTTATTGCATTGCATGTGTCAAAAATACTTTTTGCACTAGATTTGATGAGGCAATAGGTTTTTCTGGAATACATTCAACATTAATGTCAGTGTATTTTGTTGCGTGACCAAAAATTCATTTTGATCTGGCTATATATGTATGAATAACAACGTATTTTATCATTTGACATTGGGACAGACACACAGATAACAAGACATCAAAGTAAGATAAAAATTAAAAACATTATTTTTAATATAGAACTAAATTTTTCTAGACTTACATACATATGAATAAAGTTATTAACAAAATAAAATAAAATTGGATGAATCGTTCAACTATTTTTTTTTTCTGTGCCAAAATTTGTGCCTTATAAAGAAGAAAAGACTTGTTTGTATAATTTGGGAAGAATAACACTAAAGTTAGTTAAGCATTTCTTCTAAGTAGTAGCAGCTATTATTATTTTTTTAATTTATTTATTTCGTTTTTCTTTTAGTAAGGTAGACCTCTCATTGATAAACACTGCACGGCCCTACAATACAACAAATTAAAATTTACAAGATATATAAATAAATCTAAAGTACCAACAACACATTAAGATTCACAAAACAAATTAACTAAATCAATAGTATTATGCTTTGTTGATGGGTTCTTTTTATTCTGGTTGTTTTACAACTAGGTTGAAATCGTTATGGATGGTAAATTTATCAACTTTAGCATAGCTTCGTAGTCATAATGCAGCAAATAAATATCTACTTAAATTTTAATGGCTTAAATATATACGTGAATAATTTGGAAAGCGCATGTTTAATGAAAATAAATGTGTTTGATTAAAGAAATGTAAGGTTGCATGGGATAGGTATGTTCTTAATCTGCATTTGATCATCATGTGTATTAACTACAGTACTTGTAGAGTAGTTTTGTTATATTATCATATCCAAGAATACTTAATTAGCTTAAACGGTTAGCCACCTGCGAAATAACTATTGTGTATAATTTAGGGGGAAAGTTATACAAAATCAAATTGTATACAGATATTGACTGCTCATAAGGGGAATGGTGAAATCTATTGCCCTGAGGTAATGTGGAGACCGTAACCTACCTTCCCGAGGCTATAGTCTCCAAATCACCTAGGGGCAATAGATTTCACTGTTTTCCTAATCTAGAGCAGTCAATATTTGTTTTATATACAGTACCTCATATACATAGGTTCTACAAGGCTTTAAAAAGTTCTTACTTGCTAGCCTAGCCTCCTAGAGGCCTACATACTAGCCTAGGCATCAAAGAGTGTATCTAGCTCTTCTTTTCTTATTTCCTCAATTTTAACTGCACCCATTGTCTTGCAGTATTTGTCGAATATTGGTGGGCAAAAAAGTACTATTTTTCAGGGGAATAGTACTTTTTGAGAGGAGTAATACTTTCTATTGCCCGCTTCTTAACTAACCAGATGCCTAGAATCTATGTATGACCTGAATGCACACAGAGATGACATGAAAATTTCACTTTTCATTTTTCTTTAACTGAATTTGATAATTCATTATACAATAAGTTTTTGATAAGTTTCATGATACAAGCTTAGAGTCCTGGGGAGTGGCTACAAGATTGAACATGCTACAGTACTATAGTAATGTTATTGTGAATATAAAAAAAGGTATCTCTTTGGCGATCTTGTCTTATTATCGGCACACAGAGTGTGAAATTAGTACAGTACCTCCAATCGAATTCAAACTTCCAACGAAAGCCTCAGTGGCCCAATTGATTAAGGTGTTTGCATAGACAGCAGAAGGGCTCGGGTTCAAATCCCAGTTAGGGAATTCATTTTCATACTCTCTGATTCCTCTTCTTCCTCTTCACCATTTGCTATACGTACTGTAGGAAAGTGATAACTTATTTTCATTACTACAAGTGTTGATATTATTACTATTAGTGATTGCTACATTTATTGTGAATTTGAATTTAGTAGCTAATTATTCATCATAAATACATCCAACTTTGTAGAAGAAAGTTTAATGGCTGTAGATGTTACAAAGTGATTGATGGCAAATTAAATTCCATATTTCTTAACATTTCTTAATAACAGCTTATTTTCAACGTTTTAGTAATTATAATAAAAAGCATCTATAATTGTCGCGTGCTCCAGTATCTGTTTCTAGGGAACATTTACTGCACATTGACTTCTTTAGAGCAATTTCTCCTTAGAGCATACTCAGCATTTCCATGAATTTTTCCAGACTCGAAACCTGTCGAGTGTATTGTTATGAGACTTTTCAAAGTGCACTGTAGCAAGCTTGTGTTATTATATTATTGTTAAATTATTATTGAATTTGAAATTAAAAATAATAATTTGCAATAATGTTCATGTTGGCAGATTATTTTTCCCTGAAAAAATAAGATAATAAAATCAATTCTGAAATTAACTAGCACATTTTGTTAGCAAAAAACAATTAAACTAGAGCATAAAAATTAGTGTACTGTACAATATTTAAAAATATATTTACCATATTTATAAATAACAACAATTGTCAAAATACTTCTAGAAATATTGACTTTTTGTGATTTTGTGGTAAGATTATTGGTAAACATTTCTTATACATTAATTTCTGTGTTCATTTTCATATTACAGCTCTCCTTCCAGTTAAAGACCCATTTTGGGACCAGGTTTTAAATGGTCTTTAACAGCTTGGTCTCTAATTAGAATAATAAAGATAAAAGACATATTTATCAATGTGGGACCACAGAAATGTTCATTGTCATTCAACTACAGTATATTTATTGCAGTAAATACTATAGTTGTAACATTTTATAAACTTTGATTGCCACAACGAAATGGAATAGAAACTAAAATTTTTTGGAAAAACAAAATACTTTAATCCCAAAGGCATGGCAAGTGACGTCTAGATTTCGCATTATCTCATACAGATATTAATCCCCAGTGCGATTATCTTGCATTAATTTTTGTCGTAATATTCTGTCCTGTTGAATGTCAATCCAAGCTATTTTTATCCATGCAATAAAAAGTAAAATCAAGGCATCTGTAATACTGCAATTTAAGCAATGCAACACACAAAATCGTTACGTACAAAATAACAATCAATATTGTTTCCTAGAATCTGTTCAAATTTATCAGTTTTGTGGAGTAGTACAGTATATTTCTTTTTTATGATCCAAACAGAAGTCAAGTGATGTAAGAAGGTGTTACTTCTTGACGTTTTGTTTTACTAGCAGTAAGGCTTAAATCATAATCATTTTTCAAGCCATTCTTTTTCAAAGTTTGTTGTTTTTTCCCAAAAAGAAGAAACCGAAATCCAAAACAAATTTCATTTCATTTTTTTCGGTTGTAATACATATAATTACAAGAGTTCATTGAATCGCAAATGTCTCTGTTTTCTTTTGTTGATGAAATATAAATAAAATAAACCATGAACATCAATTGCTAAACTTAGGTGTTCCGATGAATATTGATTTTAATGGATACACATTGTTGCTTGTGAAGTGTGTATAAAAAAGAAGTACACATTTATGTCATTAATATTATTATGCATTGGTTTGATAAGGTTTTTTTCAAGAGGTTAGTCATATGTCATTAATAATATTATCATTGGTTTGATAAGGTTTTTTGCAAGAGGTTAGTCAATTAATACTCAGTAATCCCCAACCCTCTGCCACTTTTAATTGAGTGACTCCTAAAAATCACCCATCCCCTATCACTTTTCACCGTCCTCATTGTTCATTTCAAGAGCCTAGCTCTTTGTAGTATTCTCAAAAGGTCACAATGATTGTGAAAACAAAACTAGAGCAGCATTCTACAGAGATACTGTACCTCCTCACAGTGCGTGAACACCATAACATGCAGGGCTTTTATGGGGGAGGCATACTAGGCAACTCTATTATTATCTTTTATGCTCAAAGGATAAGTTATGAAAATTATTTTAATTTCTGTGACTTTGACCAAAACCTTTGACCTTTTCATCCTAAAAATTTAATAACATATTTGTTTAGACCCATTTCTACCAATCCACTAAATTCCATGATGATCGATTCAATAGTTTTTGCAAAATCTTGAACCTAAAACAGAGACAGACAGCGTTGAATACAGGTTCTTACGCAGTGGTAAATTGACGTAGAGTGAAGTAGCATTTCATATTCCTTACTCATGCATTTATTATTAATTTTAAATGTTACCCATCATTCATTCTGGTTTTTACCCCTCAAAATACATCATGGTAGGCAATCTAAATTAGTCCTTCACTTACAATCACAATGTAAAATTTACTTTTGAATAATATATGATTATAAATAGAATGCTACTTTCAAAGCCCCTTTCAGTTTGATTGATTTGTTGAGACTTTTTTCTACATTAATTTTTATAAAACGTGTACGCTGTATAGACTCGCCTATGAGATGACCCCCTCACTCCCGTTTCACCATCGGAATTCATACTTTTTGCTATTCTTTATGGTCTTGATACTGTAGCTGGCTTAAAATGGAGCCAATTCTAATCTTCAAAATAATACCCTTTTAATGGGCTTTTAAATGTAATCAAAATCTTATTTCCCAGTTTAAAATTGCATTCATTCATACTAACATTTAGTACTAGGTAGGTTCATTGCAGTAGTAAATTTGCACGTTATGAATGATTTGCATTGAAGATGAACATATATGTATGTCGCGCATATAAGGCGACCCCTTGTATTTGCTAGTCTAAG